GCTACTTTTTTTACAGATATTATACGACATAAAGCTACTTTTTCTACAGATATTGTATGACATAAAGCTACTTTTTCTACAGATATTATACGACATAAAGCTACTTTTTTTACAGATATTATACGACATAAAGCTACTTTTTCTACAGATATTATACGACATAAAAATACTTTTTCTACAGATATTGTACGACATAAAGCTACCTTTTCTACAGATATTATACGACATAAAGCTACTTTTTCTACAGATATTATACGACATAAAGCTACTTTTTCTACAGATATTGTACTTCCCTAAAAAAAAGTGTCGTTTCTGTAGATGTTGTTCGACATCAACACATCCGTTGTTGTACCTGCAGATAGTGTATCACTGTATTTTTTTCCCCCAGGTATTGTACCACATATACAGAGCTATTGGGAAAAAACTTCTTCCCTTCGCGGATGGAACGATAATTCATTTGGACTCTCATCCTGATCTTCTTTTGCCTAAAAATTTCGACCTCGATAGGATATGGGACAAGCAATATATCTTCAAGTAAGTTGTTTGATGTGAATATGTTACAAATATAATTGTTACTTCAAAAACAATCTCAACTGAGACTTGAAAGGATTTGAGCCAATGGCCCTGCTCATCCAGCTATAGACCATGTTTTGATACCTGAAGTGTGGAGTTTTCCATCAAGGCTCTATATATATACATCTTTATCCTGGTAGACTTTGCAAATGTATTTACCCCTGTATATCTTTAAAATGGTATCTTTCATTTGATCATCGAATTTATATGTTTATAAAGATTCTGTTTAGACTTGCGTTTATCAAAGTCGACTTTTTCTAATGTGGCCAATGATATTTTAAGAATGCGTGACGTTTCGATTGGAGGGCCTGGTGGAGTCGAAACGTCGAGTAAATAAGATAACTCCACATAGTTATAGGTCGAATTGTTTGTGAAGAAGAGGAAATGACATTATATTACAGTCACTGCTGTGTAATTTCAGGAAATTGAGAGTCTACGAAACACAAGGTCTTTAGAATGGGATTGTTTCTACAAGAAGCGATCATTGAAACAAGTGATTGTAGTTTATCTTTCAATAAATTTTTAGATTTCACATTTTTTTGTAAACAAAAACTTGTCTAGAGTGTCATACTGGGAATTGTGTATGTATGTATGTATGCACTAACAAGACATTCACGGTGCAGCTAGTGTGTGTGAGTGTGTATATACGGTAAAAAGAAACCCACCATATAATTATCACGTATACTAAGTATGTACACACACACACACATTAAAATACATCCACCATGTAGTTAGTATGTATATATGTAGTAAGACGATATCCACCATGTAGTTAGCGTGTATATATACATGTGTAGTAAGAAGATATCCACCATGTAGTTAGTATGTATATATGTTGTAAGAAGATATCCACCATTGTAGTTAGCGTGTATATATACATGTGTAGTAAGAAGACATCCACAACGTAGTGATAACATAAGTTTTCCATAATCATTACGACAGAGTATAATCAAACTATTCACACTTTTGAGATCTTGCCATTTCAATAGAGCAGTTATCCCATTATGGGTTATTATGTTAAAGCAATATGTTTAAATGTTTAATATTACTAAATTTGAGCCTGCTGTTCACCTGTTGTGTATCACATTTATCCAAAATGTTTGTTCCCATTTTATGTATTTTACCAAATTGTAATAGTTCCCGTATGACTTAAAAAGACCTGCTCAATTGCAGATTAGTTACGAAGAGAAGATGCTACAAATTTAGTGCCAGAAAACATTTGCTCTTGTATGCCAGGTCTCGATAAATCCCGGTCGCTATGGCGACTACGAGTTTCATCGTGACTCCTCAGTATTTTCTCCCATTTTACACGTGCGCAGGGCTGTGCTAAATAGAACTAGAATCTAGAATAGTTCTCGACTCTTGGAAGCCTGAAACTATTTTCACGTTCTTTGAGTCCTAAATCGAACTTTGTTTCTAGGATTTTAATGATGGATTTAGCAATTCTTCATATTTGTCAGGGAAGTGGTATGGTTGCACAACATGTTACTAATTTAGCGCCGTTTTGTTTTTCTTCTTTCTCTCAATTTAACCAATCAGTGCGCATGTTTAGACTCAGACGGGTCCAAAGGCAGTTAGTTAAGGCAAGATTATCAAGAGGTTGTTGATATCATGTGATCATTAGCCAGCACTTGTTGTTGTGAAAGCAAATAAATGTACATTTCCCAGTACTAACAGTTGTGAAGTTAGGTTAGACACACCAAAAGGCTGCTTCCTGTAGTGTTTCAACTTTCTTTTCATCCAAGTAAGTTTTGAGGTCGTCATGCGCACAACATTTAAATTCCTGAATTAGATATAATTGTCTTAGTTTGTCGAAATTGTTGCCAATATGCAGAGAATTACACCATCGATCAAAATAAACCTCTTTTCCGTGGGCAAGTTCCATATAAGTTTGATTTTCTTGTTGCGATAACCTCCAAACTTTTGGCGATAAGCCTTCGGCCCGGCATGGCCAAGTGGTTATGGCGCTCGAATCATAATCTGAGGGTCGCGGGTTCGAATCCCAGTCCCACCAAACACGCTCGCCCTTTCTGCCGTGGGTGCGTTATAATGTGACGGTCAATCCCACTATTCGTTGGTAAAAGAGTAGCCCAAGAGTTGGCGGTGGGTGGTGATGACTAGCTGCCTTCCCTCTAGTCTTACACTGCTAAATTAGGGACGGCTAGCGCAGATAGCCCTCGTGTAGCTTTGCGCGAAATTCAAAACAAACAAACAAACAAGCCTCCGGTACTAACTCGTATGCTTTGAGAATAGCTGCTTTAACCTTATCATAATTCGTACAGTCTTCTAAAGAGAGAGCGGCATAAGCTTATTGTGCTTTACCAGTTAAAACGCTTTGTAACAATAATGACCATTTTTCGATGGGCCATTCCATGGTTTGGGCAACCTTCTCAAAATGTTGGAAATATTTATCAACTTCATTTTCATTAAATGATGGCACTTTAACATATCGATTAAGTTCAAAATTGTCATTGTGCCTTGGTCGATCAGATTTGAGTCTAATTTCCACTTCTTTCAGCCTAATTTCTTTTTCGGCCGCGAAACGTTTATTTTCTCGTTCAGCTTCGATACGAGCTTGTTCTTTCACTTTTTCGGCTTCGATACGAGCGTCTTCAAGCTCGATTTGTTTGAGTTTTAGCTGAATCTCTAACTTATCTTTATCACTTAATCCCGATTGGCTAGTGGGGACACTAAAGTATTCCTCTAATGCTTCCTGATAGATATAAATTGAATTATGAAAAAAAATTTAATTTCGATCGAATTTTGTCTCTGATTCAGATCCCGGACGAGCCTCCAATTTATTATGTTACGTATAACAATTTCAAATGGCCTAAAACTGAGTTAAATTGTACTTTGGATTTAGTAGTTAAATAAATGCCGATATGTATCCAATTTATGACATTTGTCAACAAGATTGATACACACAGTTTTCTTTTTAATACAAATATATTTTAATATACAAACAATTATATAATTTACAATAACGGTTATTACAAATAGTTATTACAAACAATGATTTATATACAAAAGTTTTACAAACTTACAAACAATATCGAGTCTTATTTCTGGTCTGAAACTTC